TGTAGTCTGTCTTGTGATGAAGACTCTAATGATTAAGGATGATTGTAGCTGTTTTCATTAAGTCCTAATTAGTCTTGACAAATGCAGTGCTTGGCAGTCCATAGCCTGGACACTGTAGGTGCAGTTACAGCAGTTTGTTCTCAGGAGGTTGCTCTTTTCCACATATAGTCAATTCAGGCTGAGCTAATGTTTGCTAAGATGCAAATTGGGGCAATATCCTTACATGGAACTGCCCTCTCTTTCAGAGGCTGAGTTTTACAAATTTTCACGCCTACTAGGACCCTCAATAGATCTAGCAAATAAAGACACAAGACACCCAGTCACACCTGCATTTTAGATAAATAATGGGCAATTTTTTAGTGTACATCTCAAGTTACATGCGACCAGAACTTTCCAAAAACACCGAAGCTAAATGTAATCAAGTGTCCTACACTGTATCTGGCAAAGCTGAACCATGGGAATCTGCTTGCAATTAGAAAATTGGCAAAAATTTAAATTTTGAAAGAATCTTCATGTTATAGGAGGACCATAGTATTCGTAAAGAATCTAAAGTTTGGGTTCACATCCAGAGTTACATATTTTCAGGAAACCTAAAGGATTAATGCAAGATATAGATAGCTTTGTTCCTCACTATCTAGGTGATTTTGATGAACATTACACGGAACAGTGTCTTCAAGTTTTGCATGCCATACTGATTGGGTGACGTTTTCTGATAAAGGAAGCCATGATAAAAACAGTCACTGGTTACATTTAGGGTTTTCCTTGTCACTTAAAATGTTGTCAAGGAAACTGGGTGGTACTAAATGTCCCTTACCTTGACTGTGGTGATGGTATCATTTTTTCATATGTCCAAACTCATCAAAGTATACACATAAACATGAATAACTTTGAAATCATATCTTAATAAAGTTAAATAAATAAAAAGCTGAGATGTTTTTGAGAGTACTGGCTTCTACGGGGAAAACAAATGTAAAAACTTCTTTTATGGCACAACTTCATGATCCTCTGTACAAAACTGCATCTAAATATTTAGAATGATTAAATTTTCCACTTTCTACAGACTCTTATTTTGAGAGTTTCTTTGAGAGTTACTGACAAACACTTTATTATGTAAAGTTTCTGTCGAATACTTCTTGGGTACTCAGACCTTTCTGGAAATGCATGTTGTCTCTCCTCTTTCCTTATGAAGAAATGTTCACTCCCAAATGCCACCTGGTTTTTGCACTATCCTTGGCCATGTTCATAGGTGACAGCTTTCTGCTGACCTGGGGAATTGTGCCTGACTCGGGCACATGAATTCTGCCCCATAGTACAACGTATTATTAAAATGCTCATAGTAACTATGATCATGCTTTCACCAAAATAGTTTTTAGAATAATTTTTAAATTCTGTTTCATTTTTCAAATAAGTATAAATTTTCTGCATGCTAGTGTTATATAGTTACATGAGTGTTGTTGTTATGAGAAAGCATTTTATTGTATGTCTAGAACTTCAAAACCCACTAATAGTAGTTTTAGGAGCTTCTTGAACAAATTGAAGTAGGTAAAACAAAACATGCAGAAGAAGCTTCAGATACTACACTTGATCTTAGCCAAAAGGCCGAGAAGCGATGAAGAAGCTTCAGATTAATGAGTGAAACTCCATCAGAAGTACTAATTCTATAAAACATTCAATGAAATACAAACCAGCCCCAAAATACCCACGCATAGAGTGTTTTATAAAACATATTATTATAATCCATCAAAAGGATATGAATTTTCTTGCTGTGGACAGTAAATAGCAATGTAAGCATTTAGTATGTTAAAAATGTACTTGGTGAAATTTATACTTAGGGCTACAAGTAAAAGCATTTTAAAGAGTGAATTTTACATAAAGCAAAACAATTAAAAATATTTGGCGGTTAATATTTCAGTTACAAGACAAGGAAATGAGTAGATTGAAATATACTAGTGTTAGACCTAGAACATGGCAGGCGTAAGGGCAAAAATGTCCAACCAGAGTAGAATGGTAATGACCTCAAGCACGGTAAACCAAATGTTTCAGTAATATTCTAATGAGGAAGAATTCGACTTGCAAAGTAAAATCCTTGCTATTAATGATTACCTTCCTCCCTTCCTGCTTTTCTTCCTTTTTTTTTTTTTTTGGTGATTTATTCTGTTGTGTTATGGACATACAGTACCAGGGGATTGGAGGGGGTAACAGTGTGTGTTATTCCATAGCATATATTAATTTCTTTCCAATTAAGTGCTGAGTAGAATTTTTTTGAGAGAGAGTCTCGCTATGTAGTTCAGGGTGGCCTCGAACTCACTATGTAGCCCAGGTTGGCCTCAAACTATTGACAATTCTCCTGCCTCAGCCTCCCAAGTACTGGGATTACAGGCCAGCACCACCATGCCTGGCTGAGTGGAAATTCTTGCTTGTCTTATTACAGAAACTGGAGTGAAACAATCTGGCCGGTATTTGTTATGCTTATTCACGTTTCTGGACCGTGAGGAACACTCGGGGATGCATCTTAAGAGGAGATAGGTATGTGTGGATTCTATTCCTACCAGCTGATAGGGAGCACAGCTAAGGGGCAGCAATGAAAATTTAAGACTGAAGAAAAAGAGAAACCTGTAAGTGTGGCACAGATACAGATCACCATAGAACAAAGACAATGAGGCAGGAAGGCAAAGTTAACGAGGCATCGCATGCCTAACATTTTGTCATGAGTAAAGAAGCAGAGATATGTGAGATCTGATGTACTAAAAGAAAAAGGAAAGGAAAGTGATTGTGCTGGAGGCTCAACAGATGTAAAGGATGCATTCATTAGTTTGCTAATAAGTCCTGATAACGCTGAAGGATATGTATCTAAAATAAAAATTAAATAGGATAAAAAGAATGGACATATTAGACAAAAGTTTTCCTTTGAGACGTGGTTTTACTATGTTGTTCAGGCTGGCTTTGAACCCCAAGGTTTAAGAGAGTCTCCTGCCTCAGAATCCTGAGGGGAAAAATTACACATTTTATTAGAAAATAAGATTTTCTTTTAAAGTCTACTTACATAAATGCAAAGGTTTCTCTTCATGCAAATTAGTTTCCTACATGTCCCACATCTTGACAGATGTCAGTCCCAGTTAATTATTTCCCATAAAATAAGTGCTGGGCATGATGGTGCACACTTGTAAGCCCAGCACTCAGGAAGCTGAGGCAAGAGGATCGCCATAAGTTTGAGGCCAGCCTGGGCTACAGAGTTTGAGGACAGCCTAAATTACAGAGTGACGCTCTGTGTCCCAAGTGATAGAGAATTGCTGCAGTCCCTGAAGAACTCTAACTTTTGTTCTGGTATAAGAGAACTAATTGTGCCCAACAGAGAAAATACACAGCAAATAATAAAGAACAAGAGAGGAGCCGGATATTTAGCTCAGTGGTGCTGCTGCCTGCCTCGCTAGCTCAAGGTTCTGAATTTGATCTCCAGTACTAAACAAAACAAAAAAAGAACAAGAGAAACAATGGCACAATTTTCATGGCTTTCACCTGGGCCTCTGCACGCTCTGGTCTCTACAAACTGTAGCCTTACTTCATCTGCTTCATACGTTGCCAGGGGGTGGAATAAAAAGTAAGACAGTCAATGACACTATTAATGGAAACATTGCAAACAGGCTAAATAGAGTCAGTGCCTCAAAGTATCTGACTTAACTCGCATGGAGCATTTCAGTGATGTTTCTTTTCATGTTTTGCAATTTTATGAGTGGTAAAACCTACTGTCACCACTCAGAACAACTGCTAGTATCAGACTGACCACTAAGGAAATGGCGAAGCATCCAGCAGGGTCCAGTGAACTACTTGGAGCTCTGGGCAGCCAGAGAAAAAGTAGGTGGGGAAAATGGGCTGCTTTGAGGAAACACACATTAGCACAGGTGGCAAAACCACATTCTTAACTATCTGGGGGATTTTCAGAGGCCACAAAGGATTACAGTTAGTTTATGGTTTCCACCTACACCTGGGTACACACTGCAGTTATGCCACTTATACCCCTGGACAAATCAAGCAAATTCTGGAAACCGCCAAACTGGCGAGGATGTGGTCAACTGAGGAGATCTTTCCCTGCCTCACCCAGGCAGTGCAGATGGCAGTGTTGTGGAGAGCTGGAATAGCGGGGTCACAGCCCACTGATACAGCTCAAAGTGCCACAGTGCAGGGGCTTTCAGCTCCAGCAATGTGATGACTCTAACTCTGAAAATTACTCGATGAGATGGAGAAAACCTTTATTAGCCGGCCAGCTCGGAGGAGTTTGGCTCACTCCAAAGTCTGAGCCCTGAGTTGAAGAGGAAGCAGCCTTACGTAGAGATCTGCGGTGCAGTGGGCCGGCCCACACGCTGGACAAGCATGCTCACTGCAGCGGAGGGGCGGACTTAACAGAACATTCCTGAAACATCTGGTAGGAATACACCTGAAACAGTTACAGAGCACTGTAATACATTGGGAAGGAACACTGTGCAGCACAAATGGCTACATTTCTGGAGCCGCACATTTTATGGAAAGAACACTAGAGCGGGGAGCAAAGGCTTGCCCTGTTGCACGACTGCTCCATTAGTAGTCGGATGCGTCTACTCCCCAGCATTTCTACAATGAGGTCACCTGTCTGGAGAGGGCAGCAGCTTGGAGCCATCTACAGACTTCGTGCGACAAGCAGATTCTGGAGATGGCCAAGGTGATGAAGATGATGTCAACGAAGGAGACGGCCCTCTCCTGAGTCAGCCAATGCAATGACAGGTACAGTGGCTCCCTACCCCGCGTCCAGCAATCGAACTCATACACACGGTCTCTGCTGTACTTGGCAAGATGGCAGAGGGGCCTGACTTTGAATATCACTGATGATGAATCGACCGTGCTGGGTAGCGGAGAGCAGTGAGGTCCTGCTGCTGTCATGGGTACCTTTCCTCTTGGGCGACTGTGACCCAGGTCAGGAAGACATTGGGTTCTGCTGAGGCCCAAACTGCCCAAAGACTTTCCTGACCGAGGCCATTAATTTCCTTTTTGAGCAGTGATTGAAAGGCTATAAGATGCAAATGAGAATAGATCTGATTTCTTAGATTTGTACAAGCTTTCTCACTGTAAGCTCTCTCTTCTCTCTATTTTTTTATTTCTTTTTAAAAATTTGACAGATACAATTCTTTAGTCCTTTGGACTTATAGTCAATTTCTTGGGATACATTTTCTAATACTAAGGTTTGTTTTTTTTTTTTTCTGCTCCAATAACAAAGTCTGCTTAGTTTTGCTGCACTATTATTTAAAGAAAACTGCTGCTAGTTCTGCTTGCTAATGTTTTAGTTACAATTTTATTTTACTTTTTAATTTCCTGAGATCATTTTAAAAATTAATTTTATTGGTATACTTTTTATAATTCTATGTTAATATTTATATCCTAAAGCAAAGAAGTTTGGAAAGTATTCTTTCTGTCTTTCTTTCTTTCTTTCTTTCTTTCTTTCTTTCTTTCTTTCTTTCTCTTTCTTCAGTTTGGTCAGGTTCTAATATCAATATAAAACTTCAGAAAAGCTTTTTAGAGTTTTTTTTCTTTTATTATACTCTTGAACAGTTTAAGTCATATTGGCATTATCATTTCTTTAAAGTTCTGATAGAATTTGTTTTTCTTCTGAACCTGGAACTTTCTTTATTGGTTCCTTAGCAATGATCTCATTACTTTATGGAAATCAGGCTGTGTTTTCTATGCATTTCTTCTAGAGTTTGATAATAAAGAGATTTTCCTACTTCTAAAATGTTTTCCCCATTTCACTTGTATCCTTTGTTAGATTAGTTCCTTTCTAATTTCAATTTTTAATCTCTAACAAAAGTGTGCTAATTCATAAATTTCAGAATTTACTTTTTTCTCTATTCATTATTTGTGTTTCCTTTTGGTATATTTTGTTTTTCTTTTGCTGTTTTTTTTTTTTTTAGTTGAATGTTTTCACTTTTTATCTTTCATTAATACATATTTGCACATACACATGCTGAATACTAGACACACGTCTGCACACATACCTGGGATACTTGATATGTCCTATTTAAATTAAACCTTAGATTTCAGGTTGTCATAGATTGTAGGTATAAGCAGTAAACACATTTTAGGTCTCACTCCCTGTCTAACTGTTACAGTTTTTACAGACTGAATCATTACTACACTCTCCTTGCCCCTAAAAAACACATATTTAGTTTTGTCTCCCTGAGTACCACAGTGGTACTAGTATTAATTAGTGCTAGTATTAATCGTTGTTAGTACTGGTGTTCTATAATCAGATATGTATACACAAAGGTTGATGGCAATTCTTCCAATATGAATTTCTAATGCTTTTCATCCGGGGTAACTCAAAATCATTTTCTTGAGAAAAGTTTGAGTTCTTGCATTTCTTAGAGCTTTTGTGTGAAACCTTTATATTCAATGGACAGTTTGATTGAACATAATATTCTTTGGTTACATTTTATTTTCTTAAAGATTAAAAAATTTCATTTTTTGTAGTGGAATAAATAATAAGCAACAAATGTACAACATATGTTCCTATGGCAAAATCTGAGATTAGCTATATTTTTATGCTTTTATGGATGACTCAACCTTTTTTTCTAACTTTACCAAAAGATTATTTTGTTTATATTTGTCCCATTAGTGACTCTTCTGAGTCTGTTGTGCCTGGTCATGTGGTATGTTAAAATATACTCTGTTCAAATGTTTTATTATTTTCTTAATTATTTATTGAATTATATACTTGTACGTGTGTCATTCTCAATTATTTTACTTTTCTGCTTTTGGTACTTAATCTACAGATATACCTATTTTAGACAGTCAGTATTTTTGCTTAAATATCTTGAGTTCTTTTGTTTTCATTTTCAGTTTTTTTGTTTGTTTTTTTGGTACTGGGGATCAAACTCAGGTCCTTGTGCTTGTGAGGCAGGCAGCGGAACCACTGAGCTAAATCCCCAGCCCTCTCTTGAGTTCTTTTAATTCCACTTCATTTCATTTGCTTGATCAGGTCCTTGCTTGTGAGGCAGGCAGCGGAACCACTGAGCTAAATCCCCAGCCCTCTCTTGAGTTCTTTTAATTCCACTTCATTTCATTTGCTTGTCTGACTTCTAGTGTACATTTCACTTGCTACATTTTTCACTGTATTTATGGAGGTGTTGCACAGTGATTATTGTTTCTGGGACAGTTTTGTTCTTTTCTCTTTTTTTTTCCTTGAGTTTTTAGATGAGTTCTTGATTTATAGCTTTTTTATATTTTTTCATATAGATGAATGCTTCATTGCTTTCAAAAGATTTATAGTAAGCTTTGGTCACAGTTCTCGTCTGCACTGAATCAATACTCCTCTTGTGTGTGACCTTTGTTAATATCCCAACCTTCAGATTAATTTGTCTTCTTTTTATATTTATCTATTTACTATATGGTATGACAATACAATAATTTAATGAGCTGCATGGCTTGGAATAGCTAGTTGAATATTTTCTGTATAGTTTTCATGAGCCAAAGGCTCCCCATTTTTTCTACTTCTTCCTATGCAGTCCGGGTTCCACAAATAGAAGCGATTTAAATGATATTTTGAATATCTGCCTTCCTTTACCTCAGCCAAATGAGGTTTAGTGGGGTTTTGCACATCAGCTCTGCTGAGCTGCACTTGAGTGTGTTTCTCACACCATGAGGAGCATTTTAAATGTTGCTTTTGGAGATTGTAGACTCCCTGTCACAGTCTTGCTTCCCTTCCTTTTTTTTTTTTAGCATTTCATTTTACTCAATTTTTGTCTGATTGAAACTGCTGTGGACAGTTCTTACATTTATCTTATGAGTCAGCATATGGTATACATTTCCTCACCCATATTTTTATTTTCTTCTTTGATTTGTTCTAGTTTCTAAGATAAGAAGAAGAATACTGATTTTACTCTTAATGTAAGTTGTACATGTATTTACTTTACCTAAGAAACAAAGTCAGAGGCATGGGCCATATGATACAGTATTTGGGAAAAGAAAGATTCAACATGTATTTTAGAGAATATATGTCAGTGCAAGTTTTATTTTATCAATGACAATTTTTCATTAATATTTATACAAAATGAAAAAGAAAGGAGGGATTAACTGTAAACATGAAATAAAGAAAGGAAGGTAGATTCTGAATTGTAATATTATCTGTAAATGGGAATCGGAGACCTCTGGTTAAGACAGGGGTTTCTTACCGTGTTTAGCTTTGTAGCTAAAAGTAGCCTCAGTACACAGAAAACCCCATCAAAACATAACTCTTCTTTGTTGTTGTTGTTAAAGATAGGAAACATCAGTTTGAGGTATGGGGAAGAGAGAGAACTAGAAAGCGACATTTTGAAAGTAAAACCTTGATAAACATGTAAAATTGCTCTATTTCAACTGAGTAGTGAAAATACATGCTTTAAATTTTTAAAAAATAAACATATTTTGCAGATATGTTATTATAAAGAATAGTATACACATAATTGTACACAAAGAAAGCAAACCATATTTTGTTTTATTTGGACATACTGGAGCTTGTCATTGAATGTAACAGTACATATTCGAAATAATGGAAATAAACACAGAATGGCATTTTAACATTTTTAGAAATTTTACCTTTAAGCCAATGTTAAGCATTATTACTACTGATTAAACAAACTTAAACAATAATACGCAGTATTGACCAAGATGTGTCCTCTGTTTCACTGGTTAAGTCATGCAATAACTGTGCTATGTTCGTACGTCAAGAACCACAGTGCTGATACTCCAGCTCAGGTGTCTAGTAACTGTGCCAGAAGCAGTTGCTCTCTAAAGTTTAATTTAATAAAATTATCAGTACTGTACATGTTTGGGACACATAGTGAACACATTCATCATAGGAATCGATACACGTACATATCACATCTCAGTCTTTCATTTTCCCTTTTATTCCAAACCTCTATTAAAATTTACAGTACATCCCAAATGTATTGGCTTAAAAATATCAAAATATTTGTTTGGAAACCTCGTGAAGAAAATGGAGTAAGTTCTTATCTTTAGCAACATTCTAGGCACGAGACTGTGCACCTATCAGCAGACTTTTAGAAGCTGCCAAAATAAGTTACTGAGCTTATGTCCTCAGTTGAACATAAAATGTACTTTCAGAATCAGATTTGTAATATGTCTGTGACTGCAAGTGTGTGTGTTTGTGTGAAATCCCAGAGCTGAGCATTTCATACTTCACACAGATTCTGTCCTACGTACAATCTTTCACCCCTTGGCCAGGGATCATGTTGGATCTTTTGGATTTGTACTTTACTGATTCATTACTCAACTCTGGATTCATGACTTTGCTGCACGTCAGATCTCTGGATTAATTCATCAATGCTGCGATCCCCCTCTTCCAGGTATCTTCCCTAAGTATTTCTCACAGTGCTACATCAATTACTATGACTACTGCTACCACATCAAACATACAGCAACACAAAAGTACATTAAGGGGCCAGAGATTTAGCTCAGTGGTTCCACCGCCTGCCTCGAAAGCTCAAGGACTTGAGTTCGATCTCCAGTACAAAAAAGAAAAAAAAAATACAAAGCATAAGGAGTGATAGAAGATTGTAAAACTTGCATTGCTTTCACATGAGCTTCTGTGTTGACTTCTCTGAATTCTGTGAGGTTCAAATGCACCTGCCTTGATGTCTCCAAAGAGAAACGATCATCAGAAAACATGTGATTACAGATACTGTAAAGAAGACTCCAGATTCAGGAAACATGGCCAATAAGAACTCTCCGCTATGTATGTGGAGCTGCCAAGATGTGTTTCTGTATTTCATTTTGTAATCATTAGTTACCTTCACAAGTTGTAGAGAATGAAATCTAAATGACAGCCCATCAGAAGGGTGAAAACAGTATTGATTGTTCTCTTCAACCAGAGAAAGATGGAGTGAGAAAATTTTGCTATCTTCAGGAAATAGAAAAAGATGCTGAGGCTGGTAGCAAATGTGGTGTTCAAATGATTGAAAATTGCCCAAAGGTAAAAAACACAGTCAAGAAAGTTACCAAAGAGATACCTATCTGGAGAGAATACCCTTACATATCCACCTGAAATTATGAACCATATCACACAAATTCTGCAAATAGCTAAGCCAGTGAGAATGAAGCAATCAGAGAGGGTTTCTTTTTTGTGACACAGTCAATACACAAGTGTTTACAAGTGTTTTGGGCTTCCTGCATTAAAATGCACACTGCCGGACCAGGGATTTGGCTCAGTGGTTCCACCTCCTGTGTAAGGGCCCAAATTCAATCCCCAGTACCATTAAAAACAACAACAACAAAAAAGGCAAACTCCTCCACAAATCGCAAAAGTGTTGAGTCTATCTGCTACTACATTTGCTAGGGACCTGACGCTGCTATCACAGGCTACATTTTCCTGGTGCTTCTTGCCTCTTTAAATGACCTCATGCTCTTATCTTTAGTTTCACTCCCCCAAAAGGCCACAGTGGTCTGGAGAGGGCAAGCTGGCCTGTGATAGGTTAAAAGTAGCCCACTCCTCATAAATAGACAATAGCCCAGCCCAAAACCAATGAAAGGACCTTCCTTTCTTTGTTCCTCTCTCTCCTCTCTCCTGTCTCTCTCCTTTCTCCTCTCTCTCTCTCTTCCTTCTCTCCTCTCTCCCTAACCTGCCTTCCCTAATAAAATCTCCTGTCGGACCTCTCGGTGTGTGGCCTACTTGTTGAGCATCACTGTGCCTCTACATTCGTGTCAGAAGTGGGATCTGGGATTGCCGGTGCCCTGACTTAGGGTCAGAGGCCTGAAACCCAAGACTGTGATGCTCCAACCGGCCTACCCCACATCCGCGACCATATTCCCTGATGCCACCCCTGCAAACAACACTGGCACGTTGATTCCATCACCCCCAGACTTTTGGGTAAGTCCCCACATGGTGGTCTAGAGTGTGGGGGTACTTGGACTCAGGTGTCCAGGAGAGAGACTTCCATCCAAGGTGTGAATGCCAGGTACCAGGCCTCACATCTTCCATCCATTGCGAGCCTCCGGGAGACTCATGGGGACAAGTCTGGGACTTGTCCGTTCTGCCCCCACCTCTCTTGGGATGCCTCGAGAAGGTGGTACGGCCCTCCATTTCAGACCCCCTCCTTATGATAGAGACTTCCCCATCTGGAGTCTGGGTCTCCATTTCTAGATTCAGAATCTAGAAGCCAAACCAGTGACTTCCAAATCTCAAGAGATGTCTTGGGACTCGGACTTCACCTCCATTGTCTCATTCCTTGTCATATGGGCTCCGGATCTTCCACACCTGTGGACTCCCCTTGGGGTGCTTGCTCTGAAATATGGAGGGCTTAAACCTAAAACTTGAATGGCTAATATTCCTATCCACTCAAATCTGGCCTCAATATAAATTAGATAACCAAAATGTGTGGCCGCCTAACGGCTCCCTAGAACCTGGTCTGATTCCAGGACCTTCATAACTTCTCTGAGCATCAAGGGAAACGGTCAGAGATTCCATATGTTCAGGGCTTCTCTTATCTCCTCAGCCAGCACTCTCTTTGTTCTCTGACTCAACAGCAGCCTCCCCTCCCCAAACTTTTAGTGGCTCAGGATATCTCTGCTTCTACTACTCTTTGTTTCAACTCCTCAGACCAGAACAATCAGGCTGCCTCCTCCTCATCTCAGAATCCAGGCCCAGCCCTTAACCTCCTCCTCCAGCCTCCTTCTCCTCTCCTCCCACTCCCCCCCATCCCTACCGCACCTTCCTCCTCTCCACCCTTCCGTGCTGACACCTCCTCTCACCCGCTCCAAATCTACCCTCATTCTTCACAGCTAATCCTGCGACTTTCATCAAAAAGTTCAGAACAACTGTAAGACCTAAGGCCTTACTACCACTCCAAAGACCTCGATTTTACCTCTCCGAAGAGCTCGACAGCCACGAGATTCACCCGGAAAGGAGCACACCAGACACATTGGAAAGGGAAGAGACCTTTATTAGTCTGGCCAGATGGCACTCCCAGAGCCAAGCAGCTCAGAGAGGCATCAGCTCAGGGGCTTACTGTTTTTTTAAGAGGATAGGCAGGGTGGGGGATCTATACTCAAAGCATGTAGGCAGGGGACAAAGGTTAATGGTCTGCTGGTCTACGCTGGTGGTCAGCAGTCAGGTACTTGGCAGTCACGTGTTGATGGTTAACAGATGCTTACAGAATGTCCCAAGGTTTTCAAAGCATTCCTTCCAGGGCACACAAGGAGTGAAACAATCTTATCTATTCACCCTCAAAACCCTGCCCTAAGTGCAAACAGAGGGGACATTGGGATTTTGACTGGCCCCTGATGTCCACCTGTCATCAGGCCGCCATCCCCACCATTCCCCCAAATGACCCCATCGGTCTCACAGTGGCAGAGGATCTATGAAAAGGCCCTGGCCTATCTGGCCCAATGTGGACTACCACTCAAGAGCCCAGGGTGACTGTCATTGTGGCAGGTAGGACGATCGCCTTTTTAATCGACACCAGTGCCAGTTTTTCTGCACTTTGAAAATATTAGGGGCCCACCTCTCTGTCTCAGACCTCTATTGTTGGGGTAGAAGGTAAAAAACAATGCCCTCAACAGACTCCTCTCCTGTCATGCACAATTGGCAATTTTTCATTTCTTCATTCCTTCCTAGTGCTCCCTTCCTGTCCCATTCCCTTATTGAGTTGTGACAACCAATCCAAAATTGGCACCTCCATGCATTTCATGATACGGGACCCCACCAGCACTCCGATGTCTTCCCTTTGCCTTTTTTTATCACAGGCTATCAAACCCCGGACTCCACCATCCAAATGGCCCATTAACCCTGCCCTAGTACATCCCTACGCATGGGATATTCAATCCCCATCAGTGGCCAAATGCTCTCCAGTTAAGATTTTCCTTAAAAACCCTACATATTTTCCAACTCAGGCTCAGTACCCCCTCCCTTGTTCTAGTTTAAAAGCACTGGCTCCGATCATCAAAAGTTTATTAAGAAAGGTATTTTTGAGGCCTGCCAATTCCCCATAAAATACACCCATCTTAGCAGTCAAAAAGCCTAAATGGGACATATAGACTAGTTCAGGATCTCCGAATCATTAATTCAGCTGTTATTCCAATCCACCCTGTTGTCCCCAATCCATATACGCTCTTGTCTTCTAGTCCATCCAATACTACTCATTTCTCAGTCCTAGATTTAAAAGATGCCTTCTTCTCCATTCCTTTATATGCAGATTCCCAAGATCTTTTTGCCTTTACTTGGACTAATCCTTTGACTGGCTAACCTGGACTGTCCTACCTCTAGGGTTTCAAGATAGCCCCCATGTGTTTGGCCAAATCCTAGCTCACGATCTGTCTCTTCTCCAGCTTCAAGATCACAATGTACCCAATATATAGAGGATCTTCTCTGCACTCCTTTGTTAACTGTACTCCAACAAGATACTTAATATGCTTTTAAATTTCATTTCAGAAAAGGGATACCGAGTCTTGCCAACCAAAGTTCAGCTCTTTAAACAACAGGTCATGTACTTAGGAGTGTCTCTATCACCTGGCTTCAAATCTATTACTGTTGATAGAAAACGGCTCCTCTCATACATTCTAATGCCTTCAACTAAACAAAAACTTCTCTCCTTCCTGGGCTTGGATACCTTAGGTCTTAGATCCCAAATTATTCCCTTCTAATAGCCTCCCTCTATGAGGCCTCTAAGGAAGACCCCATAAACTGGTAAATTCCTCAATAGCCACTCCCTTTGCCCATCTCAAATCCTGCCTATTAAGAGGCTCCTGCTTTACACTTACCTGATCATTCGTGTCCCTTTTACCTCTATGTGTCTAAAATTATTGAGCAGTGACCACTGCCTTCCCAGACAACCAACCAACAGGCAAAAGTTATCACTCTTACTCGTGCTTTTACTCTGGCCTAAAAAAAAAGGCTTACAATATATACAGACTCCATATATGCTTTCAACATTTTAAACTTAAGTCCCTTCCAGGATGGTTCCATTACTCTCTTGTTAAACCATATCTTCATGCTCCTCTCCCAGCCATATCCACAGGACTTCATCTACACTATTCAGCCACCTCCTCCTTCAGGGACCTCTGAAGGTCAAACTTACTCGGATTCCAGAAGACCTGTTTGCCCAGGATCCTTCACCATCATCCAGTCCTGAGTCAGATAAGCCAACCTGTTTACCCCCTCATCCTCTCATGGGGTATTGTGACACATTTCACACTACAACACCCACTGATATCCTAAGTCTTCTTATATTAGTACTTCTGGGACTCATCCTTGGGATGGGATTGGCCGTGGTGGATCCTCCAAACTATAATTTTACTTCCAGGTGTTAACTCATATTGGCCTATTACCCCATAATCTCATTCTTTGCCATTCTCAATTGCTGGAGATAATAATGGTTCCTCTCCTGCTCCTGTTTTCTCTCCTAAATCTCACCAGAGCCAACAGGCCCTCGGTGTGCACCTTGACTCGCTCCTGGCCTAACTCAGCCCTCCTTCAGACACAGGTCAGCTGCCTCTCCACTCAAGTCTCGCAACAGATGGATCACCAGCTGATACTTCAGGCTGGAGACCTAAGCGAGACCACCATGTTTACATGGCAGCCAACCAACCAACCATAGCTCAGATCTCATCTCGGTTTGAACATTTTCTAAATGATCTTTGGATTGATATTTTCTAGTTTGCTCCCCACCCTTGTTCTGTTACACGCATAGCCAACTGGCTCCAAGAAACTTTATTGGACTTCACCCCAAATAAATTACAATCTTTACCTTTTTACTTGTTCTATTAACCCTCCAACCCAGTCCACAGCCTCATACAAATTATCTCCTACCCATCTCTCCTCCCTCACTAACTGATCTGTGTGCTTGGACTCTCCTCGGGGAGCCCTACCAACAATTACAGTGGAATGCTACTGTTGTCAACAATTCCATGTTCATAAAGACAATGCAGCCAGCTGTGCCCCAAGCCTGCCACTAGATAGCTTTGTCCCCGCCCCCCCATCTCAGCAGGAAGTAGTTACAGAAGATGGACACACCGCCCCTTTTTCCTGGTGTATAATATGTGCTGGCTGCTGTCTCCATCTAAACAAAAGAGGGGGAAATGTTAGGGACCTGAAGCTGCCATCACA